TCCGACGATGTGCAGCCCAGTCCGACAGCCCCAGTGCTCCTCCCCCATGCTCCCCTCTCCCCCTCATCCACCTCTTTTTGGTGGGCGTACGCCTGCTGCAGGCCGAGAAGCCCACGAAGCCCTCGCAGACATGTCCCAAAGCGTCCATCCTTCTTCGTTTGCTAGACTCTTCGGGGTAGGGCGGCTTGGTGCTCACCGCCCACGGGAACTGGAACTTGGCAAGATTGGGCGTTAGTCCCACGCACGTTCGGGTCTTGTAGGCTGTAGGACTCTGTCAGGGCAAGCTGGCAAACGCGGATGTGGCGCGGGAAGACAGAGATCAGAGGTGAGGGGGAAAGCAGAGAAACAGACGCCACGACAAGCCCGACATGTCCAGCATCTGCTCTGTGCACTAAACATCTTACACTGAGGACCGAATGCTCTGTGCTTCTCTTCTGACACGCTGACAAGTCTCTACCAGCGCCCGTTTCCGCGCCTCTTTTGCTTGCCTGTGTCAGCATCTCTCAAACGGTTGAGGCTTGGAAGATGTTTCCAATGCCTCAAGCTATGGCTCGCTCACTCTCTCTGGTCATGTGTTCCAAACGAAACGTGAGTTCGTTCTAGTGCTTGGCGTTGAGGCTGTGGAGGCTTCACTTCTACGACGACTACGACTACGACTACGACAGAAATGCACCTCACCCCCCTCGTCTGCTGGACGTGTACACACAGATTTGTTCCATTAATAGAAGCCAAGGGTCTTGGTATCATTGGTGAAGAAAACGATGATGATGCCTAGAGAAATGCAGAAAAAGGGCTGCAAGAAGACCCAAGGAATGCCCAAAGTGTCAGGGGTCCTTGATTACATTCCTGCAAAATTGTTCAGCCCCAAAGGGCACGGGTTTGACCATTGTCGCAGGGGTTCCGCATCGCATTCCAGCTGCTGCGTTGGCGGAGACAGGGATAGTAATTAGTACGGATACAGGTGCTGGAATGTAAACCAGCCTCTTTCGAAACTCTGCTGAAGAAAGAAGCGGTAAAGAATGGACAGCAATTGATATCCGGTTAATGAGAGTACGTGGAGCAGCAGGGCTGAGGGCTGGACTGATGCTACGCTGGAATGGCCGGATGAGATGGGATTGAGTGTTGGAATGCTTGAAGCTCCACGCTTCCCACGGCCAACGAGAGGAATGTCAGACTCAACCTCATACTCGGCCGGTTCACTACCTCGTAACACACGACGACATGTTTCCGAGCCTGGAATCCGGCACAAATGTCTCGTCGATCGCGTGTCTGAAGCTCAAACCAGAGTGTCTAGTGTCTAGCGTACGATGATGCCGCCCGTATACAGACTCAGAAAAGAGTGTACGGATTCAGAATACTAGGGAAACCGTTGCCGTACTACCACATCCGGGTTTCCCGTTACCACGCTCCGTGCCTCATGCCAACGATCATCGCGAGAGGCAACGAGTTAACCTCAGCTCTACGATCGCGATGCCGATAGCGACGGACATGAACGGAGTACGACCCTCCCAAACAAGACAGCTCGTAAAAAATCCACAAGAGAGTGAGAGCCCTATCGTCTCGTCGCGGCAGCCCTGGCCGCTGTCGCCTGAAGATGAAGGGGAAAGCTCCGATGACAAACTCTACTTGTCTCGAGAAGTTAGTGAAGAAGGTGGTGTAGCTTTCGGCATCACGCGGGCTTCTGCTGTAACCCTCTAACTCTCTCCCCCCCCCCTTGTCCCTATCCCCCCATGCCTTTCGAGTTTCCTAATCCATGCCCTGCCTTACCAATTCGTACCCATGTTCAATGATGCCACGCCCGACCCAATACAACTTTAAATCTGTTGTCGGCTTTTACGTGCGCAACACCAGGAGAAGATGCCTGCAACTTTTGGACTTGCCAGAGCTTACACCCCCCCACTGCAGCGTAGGTTGGGCTGCAAGCAGTACATACAGTAGACACTCACACACATCGCCGGCCTCCCCCCCCCCCCCCAACCGGCCCCCGGACTCCGGCCGTCTGGGTTGGCGGGCGTCGTACACACAGCGCGCGCGGCGGGGGAACCAGGGGTGTTTCGCGATCGCTTTTCTTTCTTTCCTTCTTACCTAATTACACAAATCTTCAATGCAGCAGCGGGGGCAAGGGCAAGGTAGAAATGATGAGGGACCCCGCGCGGGCACGGCCGGAGACAGATCACGGGGGGCACGCCCTGCTTCGGCGGCGGCGGCGGCGGCGGCGTGTCATCGGCCGGGGGAGTAGGTAGGGTTTCCCAAATGAGAGGAAGGATGACAGATTACCTACAGGCCAGCTCGATCTGGAATCCCGTGGACGCGGCGCGCGACGAGTAGTCGGCGGGCGGGACCTGCATGGTGCCTTGCATATGTTGATGTGTTCCTGAAAGGGTCACGGTCATCTTCAACGCTGCTCCTCCGCGATGCCTCAGAAAAATGTCCGCAGCCGGCACGACGTGATATGACGCGCCGTAAGGCCCGCGTGCGCTCTGGATAATCTGGAAGCTGGCGTATCCGTATGCAAAGCCCGTCCAAGCAAACGGCCTTCTTGGTAAGAACACCACTCGGCCGGCCGTTGGTGAAAAATATCGTCGCATCAAAGAGACCAACCCAACCGTGCGGGAGAGCAGTGTCCTTGTCTGTGTGTATGTGTATGTTGGTGTGGCGTGTCTAATTCCAAGTCCGCGATGTCACATCTCGTCCACTCACCAGCCCCGAACCGGCCGACTGCGCATCACTCGGCACCGCAGCACCGCACGTAAGAGTTGGTGACTAACAATAAAAGGCATGAAATGAAATGTTCGTTGCGCGCGTATTGCGCAGCAGCGTTACGAAGCACCACACCACCACACCCCATGACCTAACACCCATCCTCCCAATCTTGAAACAAATTCTCTTTTTTTAACACTACACAACGGACGGAACGTAGCGGTAAGCCGTGGATGAGCGAGTATGAGCGAGTGAGCCTTACGGCGCCGGGTTTCAGATTCGATGTGAGGGTGGGCAGTCAACTCTCTTTTTTGCGCACTCACTCAGCCCAGTCAGTCAGTCCGAACTCTCTCTCACTCTCACTCTTACTCTCACTCCTCACGCTCACTCACAGGGCTCTCGCACCTTGGCAAGGGTTGCAGGGGATTCCATTCCGACTGGGGGCTGCCGGTTCGGCGATCAGCGTACGGCCGGCCGTCTGTGAGCAACTGGAGCACTGGAGAATTCTCCTCCCCCACGCGCACGCGGCGATGATGATGATGATGATCCTATGCCCCCTGTCCTGCCCTGTCATGCCCTGTCCGTCTCGTGATTGGGGAATTTCCCGACGTCCCCGATCCAATGCTCGATCCAAACACGGAGTTCGAAACTTTTTACTTTGGTACTCTCTCTCGCAGCAGCAGCAGCAGCTCGTTTTCGTTGTTTTGCTTCACCAGGGACAGTCACGTAATGTAGCAAAGTGATCATTCAAACGTGGTCACAAAATGAACTGGGAAACTTTGTTGCCTATTCACCTAATGCCGTTGTCCCCGTTTGCTGCGGTACAGTCAGCCCACGTAAGATGCCTGACACTCACTCTCTCTTCTTCAAACAACCGATATTGCAACAACGTCGATGGCTCAGCCCAAAACGATAAGCCTCATCGGTATCGCTTCCTCTCGCTCAATTCCCATCACGGAACTATTCCCAAAGAAGTCGCATTTAACCCAGCAAGCGAGAATCTGTAGCAAAGGCAGCAGTAGTAGCAGTCATCGTCGTTATCGGTAGGCAGTAGCTTCTTAGTTCCCCATTGCCTCTACGTCCGTTGCAATGGATACACACCCACACACACCACACTGTACCTGTGTGTGTCCCCCTTCACGAAAATCCTCCCTGTCCTCCACATCCTTGCGGACCATCGTACTTAGCCTCTCCCGCCTAACCTTGTTCCGCGTCCGTGGCGTCCGTCGGCCGACGGACGGACACTTTTCTTTGGTCGACTTTACGATGGCATGCGTTGTGTTCGCACCTAGGCGGTCTGGCAGTCTGGCGGTCAAGTCGGTCCAGTATGGTTGTTCCTGGGAGTGCGATTCTGCACGCGGCAGTTTCATCCCACATCTCTCCTCACTCTGAGTCTTGGCCGTACGCACATCACTCTCTCGAACGCACGCACACCCCTCCACGCCATCCTCCACCCTTTCCGCTCCCCGACTGTCTTCCTCCCTCAGATGCTTTTGGCACTGATGAGATGACTGGCACACCTCAAGGGAGGCACTTCCCGAAAGTCCACGGCGAAGGACAGAGAGGCGGACGGGGACGGGGACGGGGTGTACGGTTAAGAGCCTGGAGGGGAGGGAGTGGAGCTGATGGATTCAGTGGAGGAGGGGGCGTGCGATCGTTCCCGGGGACGTACGTGCCTTACGCACGTCTTCACCATGCTAGCGCGGCCACACCCCTCACACCCTCACCCTCCTCCTCACTCACTCACTCACTCCTTGCTTCTTTTTCGCTCGTCACACACCACACGCCCCCATGGTTGTGAGTCCACCGATCTGGGAATAGATATATGCTTCTACTTCCCACCCTCTCCTTCCCGTTGCTTGCTTCTTCTCACCAGTATCCAAATCAACAACAGGAATCAAATTAAACAACGATCCAATAAGTCACCCAATCTATATCCTTGACCATCAGATTTCTCCAAGGCTGAGCCTAAACTCCACCAACAAGACACCAAGGAACCAAAGAGCTGGAAGAAAAAGCAAAGAAGTTCAGGAACACATCAAGATTATCGGGAACACAGACCAGATCCACGAGACAAGGGGGAACATCTAGGAAAGATATATCACCACTCATCCTCCCGCCATCTTCGGAAATCTTAAACATCAACAACTTGAAGAATCATCCCTTCGATCACCATCAACAAACAAACAACACATCTTATCCCTGTGAACCAACCGCGGCGCTGGAGTTACACACACATCATCAACATATAATACCATCACTCCGCACTTCAACATCTTCACCACCCACCACCATTCACAATGCAACACGATTCAGCCATGCACTCCAACGACGGCTTCAAGGTCTTCCTCAACAAGGTGATCCGCCGCAACAGGAAGGAGGTCAAGCAGCGCGGCTCCGAGATCTCTGCTCCCTTCAACTTCCAAAAATGCAACCTCGACCTCGCCGGCATCAGCGCAGATGAGTAAGTCTACAGTCCTTACACTACACTTTAACAACAAACAATATACTAACATGTCTTTCTTAGAATTGCCATGCTCAAGGAACAAGCAGTTGCGAGCCGCATCGGCATCGCCGACTTCGACTCCGACTTCCCTGCCCGCCCTCTCTTCTCCATTCAGCCCGTTCTGTTCAGCGCCTCCATCTCCACCGTCGGCAGCTCCTACCGATAGATGGTTACAGTCCTCACACGAGTACATCTCAACTTTCAACCTCTCATTTGTCGAACAACATTACTATCAACTACTACTACAACATCACTACACCACACTACTACCACCACTACACCCTAATGAGAGCTGGACCTAATGGAGCTGCAACCGGAACCACCCAGGCTGGTGCGGAGGAAGATCTTTTGAGCGACTTTTTTTTTCTTCTTGTCTTTTGAAAACTAGCGACTGCATGGTACTACGATACCTGGGATGAACATTCTTAGCAAGCGATGGCGTTTTATGGATGGGAATACTCATGGCGATGACATGACTGTCATACGCACATTGGAGAGAGTGAGAGCTGCTTTTATTTTGAAAAGAACGATACCACTAGGTACGCGAGGGAGGCCATATGCCGAGGGATGAGAAACTAGGAGAGAGGAAGAAGATGTCGAGACTGAAGTCCGACCCTGAGAACAAATAAAAACCAATCATCTCAATCAAACAAGCATGCTTCCTTGTCATACTCTGTGATGCTTTGGCGATCAAGTACTCTCCTTCATCCTTACTTCAGTCTCTTGACGCTACTTTTTGCCAAATGCTGGAATGCTGTGAGGTTGACTCCGCTCGGTTTGATTTATTCTTGAGCAATAGGTTTGTAACATTGCTCACCCTTTACACATATTTGTATCCGTGATTTTCTTCAAATAGAGTGTGAGATGAATATCGATTACCACCGCCTTCTTGCCCTTCCATTGTCCTCCCCAGGACTCTTTCGTTTCATATAGCCACGATTTCCCCAAACTTTTGCCGCATTGGAAATGATATCAATATGCCTACGCAGTGTCGTTGCAAGGGAGGCAGTCAGCCCGGAAGGAGACTTATGGCAAGCTGCTATGAAGATTGCCAGCATGATCACGAGAGGGTGTATGGGTACAGAGGCCCGACATCATATGGCATCTTTTGAGCGCAGTAGTTGTGGAGTATTATAGATATTCAAGCTGTGCCGTTGTCTTCCAAAAAGCCGAAATCATTCTCTTCACTTAGTTGGAACCCCTGAGGCTGCCATTTTCCCCGAGTTGGATCAAGATAGGCTGGATATCATTCATCCTTCATCCTCATCACCACGGCCATCCACCAGTACGGACTTTTTAAAATAACTTATCTTATGATACATTGGCATTCTTCACCGTACCCTCGTCGCGTGGGAAGAAGTCATGTCGCCACCAAACTATCCGAATACTGGGTTCATCAATGTTCCAGCGTGCAAATCCCACTTCTTGATAATGTCCCCTGCGCTTCATCTTTCCTTCCCAACTTGTGAGGGCTGTGTGTCCTTCGTCTTCGTGATGCCACTACCCTCCTCATGAACGTCTGCGTCAATCTGTTTGGTCCGAAAACGCCTGTGGGCTACGAGAGTGAACGATGAGGACCTCGGTAATTCCCTGGCTGAAAGCCACCTTTCTTCTCCTTTCTACCTTACACAGAATTGCAAACTTGAACAAGAAGATCAAGACTTTACGCTATAACTTCACCTTTTGTTTCGGAAACTCTTGTGGGCTGAACTCTTGTGGGCTGAATTCTCGCGGGCTACGAGGGTGGATCATGGGGATCTCGATAACCCTTTGACTCAAAGCGGATTATTCGTTCTTCTGCCTTACGTCTTACGCTGAACAACATTCTTGACCAAAGATAGCAACTCTGCTAGCGCAAGAAAGAGGTAAGATAATATGAGAATGTTACCTTTCTCTATCCGCTGGAGTCAAGTGGCTTCGGTGGTTCAAATATAGAGGGTGATTCGGGGAAACAACACCTACGATACGTAGTGGTTGTTCCTTTCCGGCCTCACAGGCGCGAGAGATCGAGTCTGACGGGGTTTGGCTTTCAAGGGAGATTCTCGGACACGGTATAGAATTCGACTGCACAATATGATATATACATACTATAACACAATCACACGAGTATCTGCATTATTGCACTGAGGTTATGTTAGACAGAGCTTCGAAGTTGGTATCGGTCTTGCGATTGCCGATAATCTCAAGTCCCCCTATGGACCCGTGACATTGATCTGAAGATAAACATCGTAGGGGAAGGAGCTCGTTTCCTTGCCAGTATCTCGAGTGTTCACAAACAGCTGGCGGCAGGCACGAGAGGACCACTGGCAAACGTGATACCAACAGGTTTTCGAATGTCACCGATCATGGTTTAACAGCATAGTTATACGGTGTCATTTACGAAATGCTGGGGACCTGTTACTCGCATAACCTGAACAGATCATCGGTTCAATATATCCCATGTTTGGGAGAACATAATCATGAGATGTCTACGTTTAACTCACCCTACCAAGGTAGCAATCACCGAGATAATGTACTTGTACGCGTCATGCAGGCTAACATCCCAAGATTTATGCCAAATGCTTTATGCTGGCGAATGACAGGAGCTTCGAGATTGTGGCATGGAGTCATGTACTTGAACGGATTGGCCGTATCAAAGGGGCGGAAATAGATTTATAGGACAGACTTGCAACTTCGTTTTCCAAACCAGCGAGGGCAATCACTACTCTGCAGATACGCCATGAGATATGCATTTTCAGGTTCCGTTGGTCACCTGTCAGTAACCTAGGGGTGCTGCGTATGTGGTTCAATGCAGGAGGCTCAGCCTTGCATCATCCCTGATGCCTCGTGCAACAGCCACGCGTAGTCCGAGATGATCGGATTTCCATCTCGGAGCCACCTTTCGTGAATCCACAGTGGACCTGTGACGAGCAGACATGTGCAAGCAAACTGCAAACGAAACGCGATTTTCAAGTCGGCATGTTGCGTATGTAATGATGCGCCATGCGTCTTCCCTGATGCTAGCTTCTGCACGGCACCCGCTCGCACGTTGTGAACTTGCACGGCTGCGCCCCACGTGGGAAAAAGTGTGAAGCCAAACATGTCACCTTGTCAAGACTGGGCTGGAGTCCGCTGGACTGGGTACGGGCGTCGATCCTCCACAGCCCACACCGAAGTCCCGAGCCGACACATCTCGGTGACAGGCGGAGGCGAAATCCCCGGAGGAGCGCAGGTTGCAGCGCATTAGGGGCGGGTGATGAATAAGCCGCAATTCCACGGTCGAACCGTGGTGACGGCATCAGACGCGACCAGGGCAATGACGGGAACAGGATCATCGGCCGGATAGGTAGTGGCACTACTGTATCTCTAACCCGTCGGCGGCGGTCGGCAAACAGAGAGCATATGCTGCATTATGATGGAGGCACGGGGATAAGTTTCGTTCAGTCCGTGGCGGCGGAGGTAAGCCGGCTCAACCAGAAGCCCGTTCCTCCGAGTCTGACGTGCCTGTGTTCGCGAGCTTTCGGAGCCTAAAGGGTTTCAACGGCGGCGAGTAGGTAGGTACCTGCGCCTTGCAGCGTACATCATCCATGGTCATCCATGTCTGGCGGGGGAGCTTGTGCCTGACCGAGATCCTGTTTTAGGATCTGTGAGACTGTGGCTCTGCGCCGTGCCGCAGAATCGATGGCGGCTCTTTTTCGTGGAGGAATGGCCTCGTGATGTGAAAGATTGTGAGGCGCCCCCACGAGTCGCGGGAAATTCAGGTGCTTGGCCACGTTTAACAGGGTGTCTGCCATTGGCCTGTGAAATGCTGCCGGTTATACGGAGTACGATCGTGCCTCTCTACACAGTAATTGCGGAGGAGGGGTTCCAGGGACATGTCGATTCCTCAATATTGTCTCGACGCGTCGCGTTTGTTAGGGTACGACTTTGACAACAGTCTGCGGCTTGCCATAGTAACGACAGGGAATCTGAGAAGCTTCACACCGCCAGGCCAGTTTGACTTTTGGCCCAATATGGCTCCCGCTGCCAGTTGACGAGACAATTGGCAATGAAGATCTCATCGCCATCTCCGGGCCGTGTTCGAGATTCAGAGAAATGCGGTAAGTGACCCTTGAAGCAAAGGGTCCACGGGGACTTGGAGGGGCAGATTACATTGTCAGTTTGGGCGCGCCGCCATTCGTCCGCGGAGGCAAGGGATGGACGAAGGACAGGCCCCAAGGGCATGGGATAGAAAACTACCTATGTAGGTATCCGTACCAGGCCGGGTCTCAGACAGCCCAGGAAAAGGAGTCAAACCAAGGGTTATGAGAGGGGAATTTGGGAATGCTAAAAAAAGGGTCGAAATATGATGCTGGCGTTTTGTTGTTTCTTCTTTTGCCCGTGTTGCTGGCGGAGGCGACCCATAGCTTGGTACCAACCCTCACTTCACCTGAAGTCAACGGTTGTGGCTTGGGAAGCATTGTTGGCAATGTCTGATCGTAAGTAGCAGGTCGAGGATGCGTGATATCCAGAAGTTGAAGCTGGTCCAGCTCTGCCAATCTTACCAGTGACAGATACCTTGAGCCACGATCATCGAAATAGGAGACGGTGGTAGCTGAGCAAAGGGTCCGCCTCAGCTATCATGGCCCCTGGGTTTGGTGTTGAAAAATTTGCGTACGAGGATGGACGTTTTGGTGGTGAATCACCAATGGGGACGACTAGCAGACGCTACCGGCGGGGAAGTACCGGAGCAGGGGAGCGAACTGGAGGCAAGTGTGGACGGTGCAGAGTTGTGCAGCCACTTGCCAGCCAGTATGTAGGCACTTCGTACCTCAGTGGGCGAAACATAGCAATGGGTGGGAACGGAATGGAATCGGCGGGGCTGGAGGCAGCTTCCCGACAGGACGGAACTGAGCACTTGGTCCTTCCTTGACCTTGGGTGAGTGGCTCCCGAGTGGAGGCAGAAAGGACTCCCCGACCATCCCGCGCCTTCCGGCTTCTCCCAGCATTGCACCGGTTCTGATTGGCCACGGCACGGGTACCGTCTATTCGCGTCCACGACCTTCCAAATTGGCTCTGCCAGGGGAGGAGTCGGTATCCCGTACCTTCTATCCGTTCAACCTCACGTCGATTGGACAGCCCCGGGGAAACATTGGAGATAGACCACATGCATTTCTGTCAAAAACTTCGAAAATGTCTCCAGCCTTG